TTCGTACTCAGATGGGCGACGGCTACGACTTTTTAGCGTCAGTACGGGATGGCGTAAGCATACAGCATGCGTTTAGCTTGACGAATCTCGTAGTCGTACTCGTAGTCAAATCTAAAGCTCCCTATTATTTGATGTAGTGTGAGAAAAGATTGATTAAATTGAACATATATTACTTGTTTAGATCAAAATTTTGTCTATTACGCAAATGGTCAATTAAAAAAATTTAATCTGGATGATCGTGCAGTAAATTAAATTAATTTAAATACGTATTAATTAAATTACGTCATTAACTGCATATTAACTTAACTGCATATTAACAGATTTTCAATAAAAAATCGATGATCAATCGATAAAAGTCAAAGTAAAACAAGCCATCGATTATTCATAGTTTCCAATATCAATCAATTAATAAATATCGATTGGTATTGATTGATATCAATACTCATCGATTATCGATTTCATCGATTAAGTACAGTACGCAGGGTATCTACTGTGGGAATGGAAGCAAAACCTTTCACTTCTATATGTTGCCCATTGGTCTTTGAAAGCGAGGTGCTTGGCTTCTTACACGTCAACACAATAGTGTATATTATGGAAATGGAATCAAAATATTTCGCTTCTACGTCGCCCATTGGCCTTTGGAAGCAGATGTTTCGTTTCTTACACGTCAACACAACTCAATAGTATATATTGTGGGAATGGAAGCGAAACATTTCACTTCTTCAAGCTAAATGTTTCGCTTCCCTGGACACAATATAAGAGCAGATGACTCGCTTCAAAAATCACAATATACTGGAAGGAATTTATTCGCATATTATCTCAGATTTCATGACAACTTCTGCGCTTCATAGAATCCTACAAAAAGCACCCTTGTATAAATATTTAAATGAATAATCTATATATTGTTCGATCATGTACCTTCATATTCACCAAGTTTACTTGAACGTTGGCTTTCTCGAGCAAATTCTTGCCTATAACCACATTTATATATTTTAAACACTGGGTTTGTCCTGTTTAGGTATTTAATCACTGAGCTATACTATGTTACTGGAGGCCTCGCAGCCACTAAATATATTAGCATAATTAGGCCCCAAGCCCCTATAAATACTGGTAAGTGACAGAGAGCCGTCACCTCATTAATATGCAGAAACGCGCAATAGGCGAACTAAGAGGCCTAGGGACTAGGCTGGGTAAGTGACTGGTAACACAGTTTTTCTTTGGCTGTATACAGCTATTTCAATTAAGGTTGTCCCCCGAGCAAAGCGGAAAAGTCGAATATGAGCGCGAAAGGCTGCTGGGAATCGCTAATAAATCCATTCATTTATTAGCAGCCTTTCGCGCTCGTCTTCGACTTTTCTGCTTTGCTTGGGGAACAACCTTAATAATTGAAATAGCTGTATAGTCCACAGTACTATTGGTATATGATACTAAGGTGTTACGGTACTGTGGTACTACGGTACTGTGGTACTGCGGTACTACGGTACTGTCGTAGTAGTCGTACTACGGTATTGTGGTACTACGGTAATGTGGTACTGGGGTACTACGGTACAGCGTTATTTTATTTATTTTAACACGGTAGGTAACCAACTAAAAAAAATCTACAAGATTGTCGTTACTTTTCATTAGGCCGTGTACTTACAGACAGTATAAGATATTCCCACCCACCCTCCCCTAACCAACCAAATAATATTAGAAAGATATACAAAGTTTATTCATAGTCACTCAAACCCCACCCAGATACGATTATATGAAAATAACAGGGACCGCGGAGCGTTTTGGGGATTGGTGGGACTTACGCGAACGCCGAAGTCGCGAGACCGCTTGGTGTGTCCGGGGGCATGTCCCCCCCCCCCGCGAAAATTTTGAAATTTAGGCTTCTGGAATAGCCGCAAATGCTTCTAAATTTAACGGTTATCGGAAAATAGTAGATAATTTTTTGTGTCTAAGTTTGGCCAAACATTTGTACTGAACACACTACTAAAAATCTAAAATATATCCGAAATTAAGAAACAACTACGTCTACGGAAAAATTATTGGTGAGGCTAACGGCCTAGCGAGCCACCCTGCTCCGCTGCCCTGAATAATTCTTGAAAAAAAGGAGTTTTTCTTTCTTTCATTCCAAACTTTAGCAGCAGCATGACCGAAAGTTCGTTCCATTAAATTTGTTTTTGGCTTCGACAACATTAGTTTATTTTTGTTACTTCTTAATTCATATCGACCTGAATTAGATAGTTTTAACATGTCCGAAATGTTATCGGGACATTGTATGTAAGTGCTTTTGATACATATTTTAGTTATTGCTCCTTCCTTCTTTCACCTAATGTTTTCCAATCTAGTTTCTTTAAAATATCTATGGAGCGTATTTCATATGAGTCGCCAGTAATAACTCTTGCAGCTCGGTGTTGGAGTTTCTGTAGCTTGCCTCTTAAAGATTCGCTATAGTTATCCCTACGGTACTGTGGTACTACGGTACTTTGGTACTATACGGTACTACGGTACTGTGGTAGCACGGTACTATGCCTATGGTACTATGACACTACGGTACTGTGGTACTGTGACACTACGGTACTGTGGTACTGTGGTACTACGTATACTACGGTACTGTGGTACCGCGGTACTGTGTTAAGAATATGTGCAATGGTAAGAATATTTTCATGAGGTGAAAGATGGAATGTCCCATTTAACGAGGCGACAGCACGAATAAACATTCATTATTTGTATAATATTGCTTTTTCAAGGAAAGTTTATTAAAACACCATTTAATATTAAAATAAATACACACAAATATAACAGAAACTGAATGTTTCAAACACAAGGAGTGCAATGGAATAAAATTGTACTCATTGTACTCGTAGTACAATTGCACTCGCAAAGAGTGCAATGGAACGTATTCCATAAACAGCCAATTAAACGACCAGAATTCAATAAGGTATTACATAATAGTCTATTTTGGTATTATATAAATATGTCGCCTCTTTGAATGGAACATTCTATCTTTCACCTCATGAAAATATTCTTACACTATTGCACTCATAAACATTCATTATTTGTATAATATATATCAATGACCATTCGCACGCCCTTTAAAGACTGCTGCTTGATCCTTCCCGCGCTATCTCACACTCGTGAGACGCGACTCCTTCGCTCCTAACCAATAACTCGTAGAATTTCAATCAAACTTTACCTTACAGGTAAGTCTCGTTCAATTTTCTAATTATTAGTGGTAATTTGTGACGAGACAGTAATAATTATATAAACTAATACAATGATGTTTACAATGGCTGTCACAGTTCTATGTTTAATTTCATACATCCTCGCCACAATTTTGCTTGGATGTTCTGGCTGTGCCTTCCTCTTTTTTATGCCATATTTGTATTATGTTCACAAAATCAATGAACATTTACCAGGACCACCTCGTTCGAGTTTCGTATTGGGTCACCTCCCAGACATGTGGAAATACAAAGCTGAAACTGGTAGGACGACGAGCGAGTTTCTACTGGAAAAACGACTCGAATACGGGCCAATATTTATATTATTTTTTATTCACAAGCCTATTGTATTTCTGGGAGATGCTACCTATTTGCGACATGTTTACATAAATAATCATGCCAGCCTGTTTAAAAGTTCGTTTTTCTATCCTAAATTTGGTTTTGTTTATGGTGAGAGGGGAGCTGGTTATGGACTGGTATCGAATACAAATGAAGCATCATGGCGGAAACGACGGAAACTTATGAACCCAGCTTTTCACCGTAAGTGTCTGAAAGACTTCATGGATAATTTGAATAATGTTTGTGACATATTTATGACTCGCCTGGTTAGAGTTGTTGATGGTGGTAAGCCGACCAGTATGCTGCAGGAATTTACAAAAATCACTTTGGAAACTATGAGTCAAGTGTCCTTTAATATCAATACGCACGCTATTGAAGATCCCAATTCCCCATTTCCAGGAGCAATACGGCACTATCTGTGTGGGGTGCAGGACAACATTGATATTCCACTCCACCCCACCCTTCTGGGAATATTCCAGTTCAAGCTGTTTCAGAATGCTATCAAAAGAGAGCAAATTGATGCAGCACAATTTCTCAGGAAATTTGCTTCTGATTGTACCACCACTCGGATGAAGGACATTGCTGACGATAAAGCCGTCCCTGATGACTTATTGAGTCTCTTGATTAAAGATGGCAGTTTGACATTGGATGACATAATTGATGAGTTTGTGACCATATTCCTTGCTGGACAAGAGACAACTGCAAATTCATTGTCATTTACCTTGTATGAAGTCGTTACAAATCCCCATGTTGAAGCAAAACTTTTAAACAAGGTTAACGAAGTGCTTGGCGGGCGTGATTATGTGCAATTTGATGATTTGGCAAAACTGAAGTATCTTGGTCAAGTTTTGGAGGAATCTTTGAGAAAATATCCTGTAGCACCAGCACCTTCTAAAGTGCTAGCAAAAGGCATTACGGTTGGAGGATATCATGCATATTCCAAAAGGAAATGGAATTGACAGTCTGCAGATATTTTTTTTCAATGAATCCTGAAATTTGGGAGAATCCAGATGTTTTTGACCCAGAAAGATTGTCTGAAACCAAAAACATTCCAAATTTGAGCATGACACATTTCCCCTTTTCCATTGGCCCTCGTAATTGCATTGGACAGACATTTTCCAAGTTTGAATCAAAAGTTATCCTTGCAAAATTACTGCAGAAGTTTCAGTTCAGACTGTTACCTGGTAAATCTAATAGGGTGAAAGCAAGGCTAACAAGTACTCCTCGAGATGGTGTGATGTGTGAGGTCACTAGACGTGCATGAGTAATGGGAGGGATATCCTTCAGCATACAAAATCGATATTGATTGGTTTGGTTAATACTTCATTGAATACTCAGGAATGGAAAGTTTACTGAATTTATCATCTTCTTTCACATTGATGAATATTTATAAGCTAGTAACAATGTATTAAAACAAATATATTTAATGTTAGTAATTATTTATTACCATTCACTTATGGAAAGATAAATGACATTGTTTAATTGTTAATTAGCATCTATACTTACACATTGTGATTTGTTGAGATAATCAGACAACCCAGCTTTTTGTTTCTTGCCCTCAATATAAAATATTTGTCATTCACATTGAGCAAAACATGAAATGGGCATAGCAAATCAGAAGAGAGCCATAAATTTATATTTTTTCATTGTTTCAGAAACTTGACATTCGACTTATCTAGTTTGGGAAATGGGTGAACTGGGCTCTCGTGTGCCATTCAGTTCCTCTACAGGCCTGGTTTCCCATATCCATAGGCATACAGGCAGATCGACAAGAATTTTGATGGGGGGTCACCGTCAGCAACATTTTGCCAATGTTACCTTTAATTTTTTTCTTTTTTGACTACCGTATTCACTCGTTTAAACGCCTCATATGAGAGCAAAATTATTAAAAAGCGCCGCCCTCGAATAAGGGTCCGGTCATTATTTATGGCCTGGGGAGGGGGCACTGAGGAGAAACATTTTCTTGGCCAAATTTTTTAGTGACCCAACCTTCAAAAAAGTTTTTTTTCTCCAGACCCACCCTAACTTAATTATATCAATTTACTTATTTAAAAGCTAAATTGACTTGTTTGAGTTTTTGAGAGAACAAAAAAGCCAACAAGTATGAACTCTGTCACTTTATCATGACTGTTATGGCAGGTTCAAATGGAATACTTTGCAAACAAATAATACAGATATTTTAGTATTTTCCGACTTAATGATTTTTACTTTATCCACCCCTTGGCTGGGCGAATTTTTATTCAACCCGCCCATTTCGACCCATAACATTTTGTTTACCCACCCATTTTCTCTTCAGCCCCCCCCCCCCGGCCATAAATAACGACCAGCCCCCAAGCAACACGATTATTCACAACAATGCAGCGCTTCATCGAAGCACCACCTCAAAAATTGTTTGGTATCACTTACAAATAAAATATTTTATAAGGAAAGCGCCGCCCTCAAATAAGCGCTGCATCCGATTTTTAAGGTGAATTGCACAATTTTTAAGTAGAATCTACAGGCTGATTTTTAAGTAGAATTGCCTTTTTGTAAGTAGAGTGCCTGACTTATTAAGGGGGGGGGGGCTTTGGCTAGTACCATGATGTAGCTTGAGAATCTAGGACTCCTAAATTATAGGCAACAAAAATGGGGAAGGAAAAGAAATCTGGCTACTCATGAAGCTGTGAACTCGCAATTATCTACCCATAAGTTCATAACCGATTATGCTATTAATCAAAATTCAATGCCTATTGTACCTAGTTAGACTTGCCCACAAGTCGATCTCGAGGTCTAGTCAGCATAATCTACATAATAGAGCGTTTGCACATGACGTCACAGCCGCCATGTTGGTGTTCCAATTCGATCAAAAGAATTTTAATTAGACTCTCTTGTCTGGAACACCAACATGCCCGTCATAGGTTTTGTTGAATTGGTCCCTGGGGAATGAGTCAGTGCAAACACTCTATAAGGATTTTATTCCTGTACGCTGTACACACGTAGTGTTGACCGAAAGCGCTATTATGCTCGGTTTCTGCTGACCATGAAACTCGAACACGGAACATTACCACTTACTAAACCTATTTCATCTTCCCATTCTCCGAGATTTTGTTTTGCTCTATGGAATGCCCGCTCAATAAAAAATAAACTAAATTCCTTATCTGACTTTATGACATCTCCAAAAATTGATATTAGCCATTTCCCAAAGTCCTGGGTCTAGTCGCGCGAATCCTATGTTGGAGGGACAAGGAATATGGCAGCACACATTTAAATTACAGTGCGTCTACAGTAAGTGGGGCCACTTAGAGAATACTAACCAATCGCATTGCAGAACAAAAAGAAAAATCTAATCAAACTAAAGCTCGTCCAATCAAAAGAAAGATTGAGGAAGCCATTAACTGCAGTGTTTACTTTTACAAGTCTATTTTTACCGTTTAACATTCGTTTATTTGTTCAAATTGTTTTTGGCTTAATGCTGATTGGCTAATGAGCCGTTTGTTGATTTTTTCAATTTTTGTTCTGCAATGTGATTGGTTAGTGTTCTCTAAGTGGCCCCACTTACTGTAGACGCACTGTAAAAGTTTAATGTAAAAAGGAGATATTTCATTTTTGGTCGTCTAAAAAGTTGATATTTGATAGTAGATACTTCTACTCTTTCACATATTTGACGCCTGTCACCATATATTTTGTCCCTCCAAACGATCCCAGTATGCACTGTGATCTCTTTTGGGAAAAGGCTAATTGTGGCCATTAGGCATTACAGAACCTGGCTTGACGGTGATGCTCGCGACGATCGGACGTCTGCCGACCCAACCTCATACCCAGGGCTAGCGACGTCGCTGCCTTCTATCACTTCTATGCTGCCTTCAACTCGCGGCTAGCCCTGGGTACGAGGTTGACGACGCCATCCTTTCGCTGATTTACATCCGTCTTCGAAGGACCATAATTTTGAAATAGATTGGAATTGGTTTGAGCATCTAGACATGTACATTTGTGAAAAATGTGAATTATTTTCTGACATTATCTCCACCGGGGTCAACTTTATTATGCCGGAACGGAAAGTATTTATTTCACACTGATGATGCACCATGGCTTACTGAAGATTTTAAACGATTGATATTAGAGACCTTACGATTTTAGGACGGCAACGCGGACGGCCAAAATAAACTCCTTCAAATAAATGGTAGTAAAGATAGTTCGTCGTATATTATCAATCGTATAAATTTTGAAGACATGGTTTTTATGGTTGGGAAGAATTCTGCTAAACCCAGTTTAAAGTTGCGCTTGTTGTGGCTTGGAATGCAGCCGTTGTACCAACACGTGAAAATCTGTGATTTAGCGTTGTAAACAGAGTGAGGACAATGTCTAAATTATTCATATACTGTAATTACTCAATTCTTTTCAATGATTTATTGTATTGGTAGCCGTTGCCGTCCTAAAATCGTAAGGTCTCTAATGTTGCGCCAAAGAGAGAGGAAACTGTTACGAGCAAATTTTTTTGCTACGGAGGTCAGTGAAAAAACCCAAGACATGGTCGTCTGACATCAAACGTATCAGCGGAATGAAAACCTCCAACAGCGATCTTCAATCGCAACTTCAAATAAAAAACATTGATCACCTATCGTCGAAAGAACTTGCCAATTTCATTAACAGCACCTTTCTGGAACCTATGAGCACATACCACCCCTTGCGTGATGAAGATCTATCCAACTTACATCAAGACATTCCCACTGACCCTCCATCTGTAGTTAAAATGATACCTTCTCCGGCATCAGTGTTAACAAAGCTGAAGAACCTGAACGTGTCCAAAGCACCAGGACCTGATGGTATTCCAAACTGGATTTTAAAAACTTATGGGGAGATTCTAGTATCCCCGATATCCAACTTGTTGAATACGTCTTACCAGAAAGAAAAACTTCCTATCGTCTGGAAAAGAGCAAATATCACTCCTATCCCAAAAGAAAAACCTGTGCGTGAAATTAATAAACATCTTAGGCCAATTTCGCTTACTTCAGCAGTATCTAAATTGGCCGAGGTTTCTGATAGTCGAGAAATACGTCGCCCCAGCTGTTTTATCTATAGCTGATTCAGCACAATTTGGGCGGGCATTCTGCGCTCATCGTCAATTCACACGCTAATCTCGATTGTGGTCGGAGGCTACTGATGGAACTGGAAATGTTGTCAGAACTGTATTGGGACCGGTCATAAATTATTTACTATGGGGTGTGGAGGATATTTATGGGGGGGAACGAAAAAAACAACAGAACTTCTAGGGGAGGGGGGGTACCAAAATCTAGAGCTGTGCGCCGGAGTGTCGGAGCCGGAGCTCCGGCATATTTTGGAGTTTTGACTTGGAAGTAACTTGGAGTTTTGACTGCCGGAGCCGGAGCTAAAGAGAGTTTGCACAGATCTACCAAAATCTTAGTACTATAGGTAGGAAAAAAATTACATTTTATAATTATTGTTGAATATTGAATGTATTTGTGCCCAGATTTAAGTTTGGAAAGAATTGTTTTACTATAATTACAAATCACAAGGCAACATGTGTCGACATTGCTACTTAACATGCGTTAAAATCAGATTTTGTTGCAAGTTGCAGCAATTTTGTTGCTCGTGTAACTCCAGCTTTAGCCAATTTTTGTATATTTTGCACGACGTCAAAAAAGGGTCGTATTATAATAAACACAGAATTATTATAAATATTCAAACAGATATTAAACTTGACTAGCACCTTAAAACATTTGAGGAATATTGGGTTCGTCGGTTTTATAACATATCCTTTAACAAATCAAGGTTAAATATCAGCCGTTTCGGGCATGAAAATTAACTCATTATCCGCGAAATAATGATTTCAAAAAACGTACGAAAAGCAAATTGCAGCAGATTCTTAGTAATTTTTCCTTTGTAGGAACACTAAATGGGTTGATTGGAGCAATTAAAAAAAAATTGGAATATTACCATTTGACTTGAGATTCTCGGTTTT